CTATCAAATGGAGCAGAATGTAATAGGTTGCACTTAAAAATCTCTTTGTCTGGTACTGTGATAAAGAATGGCATGGAGCAAGATAAATTTGATATACTTTAATCCATGAAGGATGTGCGCAAGTAGAAGACTGGTTTACTAAAATCGTAAGATTATACAGGATGGAAATTCCAAAAGATAATGCAGACCAAACTGCAAGCAGTATAGATCCAAATTCTTACTCAGATGACATATGTAATGACATATTCTGCAAAAAGCATGAGCCTAAAAACTTAATCCATGTTATTAAAGTCCTTCATTTGTCATGTATTGTCATTTCACAGTTGTTAATTCCCCAGAGTGAGCCTTACTTTGAAACCTCATCCATGCTTTTTTTTTAATTTTTATTTGTTAGCTCACCTGGCTAATATCAATGAAGGCTATCATATATCATGCATTATCTTTTCACAGTTGCAACTTGTCTCAGAACTGCTTGACCATTTTTCATGATTTAATGAGAGAATTCTGGCATTGATGGTTTTTCCAATTTGTTCATTAGCTGATCTGTCTTCCACTTTTGCCATCATTACCAAAAATAGAGAAACCATTTAAACAGCTCCTTGAAAACTACTGAACAGAATTTGACCAAATATGACAGCATTTTGGCAGACATGTCTTAAAAATGATGATCCACCATCTTGAAAATGGCTGAACAGAATTCTACCAAATTTTGACATCATCTTGGCATCAGATGCTTTTAGTTTTAGATAAGTGATGTCAATCCAGTCAGGTATTGTAACTAATGATAAAAATGGAAAATCTATAAGCAATTCCTCAAGAACATTAAACAGAAAGTTTATACAAAGTATCTTGGCATAAATGTTTTTCAGAAGTTTGTAAATGATACTGCATATTGTCAAAAAAGGCAGCTGTTAATAAAAAAAGGACTTTCAATAACGTAACAAAAGGTTGCTAAACAGTTTTTGATCAAATTTTAATAGAAAAAATCATAGCTTGATCAGATGTGGCTGATATTTCAAAAGAAAAAATATTTACGCAACTTTTATGTAAAACAACTGTATATCAAAACTTGGACAGAAAGCATCCTTGCATAGAGGTACTTCCATATTAGACAAAATTATGATGTTTCACATTAAATATTAATAAAGATATAAAAACTTGAGAAAAAAATTTGAAATGTGTATAATAACCGTGAAACAGCATTGGAATAAATTTATTAAATATGCATTATGTTTTCCCAGATTTTGTGACCAACTGCTCTTGCATGTTGTTAGGTACATGTCAGCAAGATGAGTGATTTCAAGCCCAATATTGCCAAAAGATTCATAACGTACTATTTAAATTGAGAAAAAGCCTCTCTACAAATTTCTAGCAATTTTAAACTTGCAGTGGCTTTATCCTAGCTGTAAGGGGAGGTAACCCTTTATGATAAGTGTATACATGGACCAGATCTACCATTATATAATTCAGTGACTCAGAATATATCCTGTTTCCTATAAGTCATTATTAGAATTACCAGGATAGATCATAATCTACTGGTATATGACATTTTTGTTTTTGGATGTTTCTTGTACATGGGGAAATGTTGTGTATAGTTACTTGATATCTGGTGACTGAAACTGATACAATAAAAAAAAAATAATACATTATGCAGTTACCTCCGTTTAACAGCAAATAACCTAATTCCAGATAACGATTTTTTTATGACTTGCAGTAGATCAACCCTTTCATATTGTCACATGGTTTGTTAGCAGAGTTAGACGGAACCTGTTTCAATCCCGTTCATATTGTCATGAGGTTTGTCAGCAGAGTAAAATGAAACCTTTTTGTCTAGCCATTATTTTGTTAGTTTGGCATCTGCATGAACCATTCATAAGGAAATTGGGGCATCATGTTTTCTCATTAGTTGTTTGAAGCTTTATGATCATGACATTGGTGGATTAAAATGGCAACCATCAGTTTGCCTGAAACAACAAATATTTTAATGCAAATGACTGAAGAACAAGTCATTATAGCCCTGCTTGTAGTCTGGGAATTGGATCAGATTGGATTGGATTAGATTGATGGAATCAGAAGCTGTTTTATTTAGCAGAAATAGGTTTTCTGCAGTAGCATACTGTATAGTCAAGCACACTTATAGTATAGCACACTTATTAGTCAAGTCAGACTGCAAACAACAAAGATCCTGATCTGCCATAGCATAATGCACCTGTAGATCAGGGTCTGTGTTGTTTGTTATACTGATTACTTGTAATTGCACACACCCATATCTGCCAGCACATTTTATAATAGCTGATATGGGTCTGTGCAGTTTGCAGTTGGACTAGTGAGCATGCATCATAACAGAATTGAGAAATTTGTGGGCACATTGTACAGTATTGAATCTCTGATCGATTCTAGTTATGATCTAGTGCTCATAAACATGTATACCAGTAGGTGAACTTTCCTTGTTGAAAAGAATTGGAAAGGAGTAAACTGTTTCACCTAAATTCTTGTGATGTATTGTTGGTTCTAAAGGAAAATGGTACCAGTGTGATGTCCAATATGGCTGCCACAGTGGTCATCTTGAAAATCATACTGGCCATAGTCCTGAATAATTTTGCCACCATATTTTTGCCACTCATGATGTCTAATTGGTCCAAAATGAGAATGTTGTGAATTATGTTCAACATAGCTGCCAAGGTGCCATCTTGTTGCTACCTATCTGAATGGATGATCGTAACACCATGGGGTTTTGCTAAACAAATTGTGATGTTTGTTGCAACCATTTGATCATATCAGCATTGGTATTTGGCTGAAAGACTTTTTATGATGTCTAGTGTTCATGAATTAAAATGGTGCAAATTCAAGTTGTAATATGACTGCCAAAATGGCAAAATGAAAGTATTTGGATCACTACTAGTTGTAGATGGTTGGTCCTTATCAACATGTTGTTTCATCTTATGGTATCTGGTTGATACTAAATAGAAATGGTGCAAGTCAAATATGGCCATCTTGGAAGCCATCTTGGCAATTCTATTGTCATTCAATGGTATATTTATTTAGTATTGTGTTATAAACGCTTTTCAAACCAACAGAACAAACTTTTTATTTACAGGAATGTTGCCCTTTCTTCCGTCATCCATATATTTCTACAACAGTAGATCCTTTTAACTGGCATAGCTCAGATACCATGTTCTGGAGCAAGTTGGCATGTATACTGTATCAGGACTTAGATGTGCCTTTTGGGAGGGTTTTTAAGAACTACATTTTGGATAGAGTTATGTTTTTTGAGAGTTAGCTTCGTATTCTTACATGGGATGTTGCTTGTAACTGCCATAGATCAGCAGCCATTCAGTATATGCTTATCAGATTGATTGGACTTGACAGCTCTGTTGACCCATGGTACACCAGCACTGACCTGGATCTGTTGTTGCATGATACAACCTTGCCAACCTAGAACTGTTGTCACATGTTGCAATAGTACTGACCTAGAGCTGTTATCACATGATGCAATAGTACTGACCTAGAGCTGATGTCACATGTTGCAATAGTACTGACCTAGAGCTGTTGTCACATGTTGCAATAGTACTGATCTTGAGCTGATGTCAGATGTTGCAATAGTACTGATCTTGAGCTGATGTCAGATGTTGCAATAGTACTGATCTTGAGCTGATGTCTCATGTTGCAATAGTACTGACCTAGAGCTGATGTCACATGATGCAATAGTACTGACCTAGAGCTGATGTCACATGTTGCAATAGTACTGACCTAGAGCTGATGTCACATGTTGCAATAGTACTGACCTAGAGCTGATGTCAGATGTTGCAATAGTACTGACCTAGAGCTGTTGTCACATGTTGCAATAGTACTGACCTAGAGCTGATGTCACATGATGCAACAGTACTGATCTTGAGCTGATGTCACATGATGCAACAGCATACTATCCCTTGTCACATCATTTGCTAGCAAATCCAAGTTTACATTATTTGGGTATGCCTTGTACACATGCATCTTCAGTTAAATTGCTCTTTTTAAGAGATTGTAGCTTAATCTAAAGAAGAAAGTTTTTAAATTTAATTCCTTTACTGTCCTTTTTTCTCTTGAAATTTTAATTAACATAATCTTTCCTTATTTCTAACAATTTAAACAAGCCTGAAATCCATGTAAAATGTTCAATGCAGTCTTGTAGATGAAACAGAAATCTGTGATTTTCTTTTCAGATTGTCTATTATATGATAATGCCTTGTTTCAATCCTTTTTTTAGGGAAGTTTATAAATACTTAAATGTGAGATTTTGCTTTCCAATAATATTCAGTTCTTATTCTGCTTACTTTAAGGACTTATTATTATTTATTATTTATTAATATTATTATTATTATTATTTATTATTATTATTATTTATTATTATTATTATTATTATTATTATTATTATTATTATTATTATTATTATTATTATTATTATTATTATTACTACTACTACTACTAATGCCTCACAATGAACATTGTATGTTTTGGTTTTGCTCATATACCAATTAATATTTTACTAAATGTAAATAAAAACATGGAATCATTAATGTCTAGTTGTGTTTGCTACACAGGACAGAAGCTTAAAATTCTGACCAGAGCAGTGACCTGTGTTGATTGCTTCATTTGGACAAAGTACTTTACCTCCATTACCTCAGCTTAGTTTTCCATGTAATGACATGCCAAGCAAGCCATTAAGCAGTCATTTATCTGAAGTCTTCAGTGGCACAAAAAATATTTAGATAAAGAAAGTGGTCGACTTTGCTGCAAACAGTATAGTACCTGATCTTTCATCACATAATGTGCCATCTGATCAGAGTTTATAGTGTTTCTTCTACTAATTACTCCAAACAAACCTAGCAGATCCCAATCTGTTAGTGCATTATACACTAATTGGTCTGGGTTTGTGAGTTGACTCAACTTGCTTATAATGAAGAACATGTAATAGAAATGATTATATAGTTTAGATAAAAAAGAATAGGTAAATGGGGACTGCTATGGTGGTCTAGTGGTTAGAGCATCCGCCTCAGATGCAGGAGGCAGTGGGTTCAAGCCCTGCGCGAATCATGCCAAACATAAAAATGGTACAGCTGCCTCGCTTGGCTCCCAGCATTAAGAGGTAAGTGTTAGGACTGGTCAGCCTGGTTTCAGGATAATGTGACTGGGTTAGACATCATTCTACATGTCTGCAGCATGATGCCGCAGTGCTAGACATCACTACAAACTGCCACACTGCAGACATGGTAGTGATATGACTGAAAAATTATTAAAGCTACATTAAAAAATCCAAATCAAACAAGTGATATTAAACTGCATCCAAATGTTCAGTTAACTTGATCGCTACCAGCACAAAATATATTGCAACTTTAGTAACTCACATGAAGCAAAATTAAATTTCTTTCATTAAAATAATTTAAATAGTAACCCCAAGGACTGAATTGACTTTGGTTTTCTTTTGTAAATTAAACCACAAAAGCTTTTGCATTACATCAATTACAATATAATAAATTGTAAAAAATCAAAATGTGTATTTGAAAAATTGCTAGACCAGTCAGACATGTAATATTTCACTAAAATTTAAAATATTCAGAGTGGGGTTTCCCAAAAGTTATTAAATATATTCAACTTTTGTACAAAAGAGTAGTTAAATACATTAAAAAAAAAAACATTTTAGGAAACATGTACTTGTTAGTACTTGATATTCCAATACCTAACAATTTTAGAACAAAATTAGAACTAACTTGAGAAAGAACACAATTAAGGCAGATGAATATAACTTAGAGTAGTGAAAGACTTGGTGATGTCAATGACTGTAGAGTATTTTTATGAATTTGTCAAGGAATTTTGCTTTTTATAAAGATCATCATTATGAAAATTTAACAGTTTTCATCTGTGAAAGCTTAGTTTGCTTGGTACTTAAGACTTGTGATAAATTTGGAAGAATAAGCTCAAGTTGACTTGGCAATTAGATGTATGATAGATCTATGATGTAGAACAAGCAGCTGAATATAGAAATTTTGTATCACAGAACAAAGACTTTATTTGTGTTGAAGATGGATAGGGTCATTCAGTATTGTACATACCAAATATGAATAGAAAGTTCAAGATGGCTGTTGGACAGTATTTAATATTTAATAATTAATAGGAATCAAATGCTGAGAGGAAACTTGTATATTATTTTACCTGACTAATTTAAGAATGTGCAAAAAGACAAAAAAAATTAAATGCTGTTGAATCCTTCACTTACTCTAAGTGATCATGTATATAGATCATCAAAACATTTTAGATACATGTTGCTGGTTTAATAGAGATCCTGAAACGATGGCGGACACTGGAAAGTGTTTGATAATAAATCTGATGTATATTAGTAAATTTGTATGCACTAATGGAGAGAGAGAGAGAGAGAGAGAGAGAGAGAGAGAGAGAGAGAGAGAGAGAGAGAGAGAGAACAATACTGAAAGAAATATCAAATTAGTTGGAATAACTTGGAAATGTAGACAAGTTGAAATATTAATTATGTTTCAGTTTGGTGGTCCTAATGACAGATGGAAGGTATCAGAATGATGAAAGAATTTTTCAAGATCAGCATCGATACCGATAAATAGACGTTATGGATAGTAAGACGTCCTTTAAAAGCTACCTGTATTTGTTCTATGCATTAGAAGCAGCGTAAGAACACAACACATTTTTATCTTGGGGGCCCTGAGTGGCCGAGTGGTTTAAAGCGCTGTCCGTTACGGATCACTGCCATCTCACCTCTGTTTGCGTGTGTTCGAGTCTAGGATTCGGCTAATGTAGATATGTGAGAAAGCTTGCCAGTAGCTTCTCGTGGGTCGGTGGTTCTTTCCGGTGATTTCCTGGTTTCTTCCTCCACCATTATTACTGGCCGCCATGAATAGCCTATCGTGTGCTGAAAAATGGCGTTAAGCCCAACAACAAACAAACATTTTTATCTTGTAGATAATTCAATGGATGTATTAATTGAGAAATGTTGGGTTGTTAAATATCAACACCAATGAAGAGATCCTTACGTTATTTACTGTGATTTTGAAAGTATCGTTGTGTAACAAGCACATAATCTTTCTATAAACTTAACAAAACGAAATATCCTGGACAAAGTATCCAAACACATTTAATCAGGGTACTGTAGTATATTAAATCAATCCTCAACAGTTAAAACCAATAGTTCACTGTGGAATGGATCGTACTAAAGTATTTTGTAATAAGAATAAACGACGAAAAATGCAAAACTCTCTGGTCTTCGAGAGTTGAGTAAACGTTTAGACGAGACAAATATATCAGTGAGAAAGGAGTAAGAAACCATGATCTCTGTAGCAGGCAAATATAGAGGTCTTGCATATAACGAATGTAATTTGAATTACAAATATCCAAAATAATATAATTACTCGCTCATAACTTTTTTTTATGAGATCCGTTCATCAATAATGTCAGAAAATGATATGGACGAAGCAATTAACAACCCCACAATAATACGAAACAAAGTACATCAGTATGGATTTCATGATTTCCATATCTGTTACAGAAGAAAAAGACGATTCGGTTTGTAGACATCTCTAGGTTCTTGGGACAAACTATCAAACAGCTGGTTAAAACGTTCAGTGATGAAAACTTTATTGCACTGAAACAGTTTGTAAATATGCAATCTAAATATTTAAGAAAACACGTTTACCCATTTGAAAACACGGATAGCTTGGAAAGACGTTTACCAACACGAAAACACGGACAGCTTTGAACAAGTAAAGGCGTTTTATCCGTGTGAAAACATTGATAACTTGGAAACGTTTACCCATAAGAAAACACTGATAACTTTGAAAGCGAAAGACGTGTATCCTTGTGAAACACTAATAGTTTTGATTTCAAAAGCTATCACAATGACGACTGCCATTTTATACTGGATATCACGGAACATTTTAAAAATTTGAAAACACTTTGAGATCCGTGTAATTATTTTGTAAAGAACGATATATTGATGGTACTGGACCTATTCGAAATACCCTTATGCGTGTATGCAAAATTCCAAAACCAGACGCAGTGCTCAAGTATTAGCATATGATGCAAGTTTTACAAATATCAGGTGGTGTAGATTTGGAACTATTGACAGACTATAGTATGTTCCTGATGACAGAGATTGCAATAAAACGTGGAATTAGCCTGATGCTACATAGATATGCTAAAGCAAATAATGAATACTACGTGGACAAATATGATAAGATAAGTATGCAAGGTCAAAGTCAATTTGATTCCGTTTTATCTAAATCCTAATGTCCTCTATTCATTAATCAGTTGATGATAGTAAAAACATTCGGAGAGGCATCTGAAGGATGTGAGAAAAGTGTACTATGATACAGATAGTATTAAATGAATTTGGAAATTTTATTACATTTGCGTGGCTAACATTTTAACACTGGTCCTTTATATCAACGTTAGGATGGGCTATGTTCTTAAAGTAAAACAGTCTCCCGCTTAATGCGATGGTCAACTGTTAAGCTATAAAAGTCAGGTGAACTATATAAGGCAAATTTCAGCGCCACGTTTTCTAAAGCAGCCATGTCAATATTTAACGTCTAGTCTAAATTTTTTATAGTTGAAAGGTCAAGCATCTCACCTGATCTTTTCCTTGACGTTTCCAATGGGGTTTGGGGCATTGGACAACGTGTTGAATCGTTTAAACAAGTCTCGAGTATCTCACATCTGTAGATTATCGATCAGGTTTTGAATTTCTAGTATTTTGTTAGCACTTTCAGTGAGAGTTACAAGAAACATCGAAATAAGTTTAAAAGATTGATATACACATTTTTACCATAATATTCATTAAGACATGCATTATGATTTTAGTGTTGTTCCCCTGTCATTCTTACCAGTCCTTTTTATTATTATTATTTTTTTTTTTTTTGTCTACTAAAATTGTTTATGGCTGACAAGCAAGCCTAATTTCTCCAATGCATCCTCTAGCGCTTCTTAGATTTGTTTAACTGTTAAGTTAATAATTCACGTGTCAAGTCTACAAATTCGGTGAACGTTTTCGTCATCTAGTCAAAGGCCCATTTAAGAACATGGTTCATAGTCACAGTTATTATTCTTCTATATGCGGTCTATCTGTTAGATTCTTAATGGGTTATTGAGTTTTAGTTTAGTACTTGTCTTTGGGTCTTTAAGTTATTAAGAAGTCGTTTTGTTTTTCGGAAATTCCAGCACAACGATTTTCGAGAGCACAGCAACAATTAGTCTGTCATTCCATAAAATTTGTTTCAAGATATTGTTGCTGTCAGTTACGGTAACAATGCCGTCTGGGAGCAAATAATTAGCTTACAGATCGCTTAAATCAAAGTTTGCTTTGTATATTTTTTTAACAATTACAAATCATAATTTTGGTGTTCACACACACATTCTACCACATACATACATACATACATACATATATATATATATATATATATATATATATATATATATATATATATATATATATATATATATATATATATATATTGCTATCAGACAGGGGTCTTTGCTTGACCGAGCGGTGTCAAAACCCTGGCGCGAATCCCGCTAGAAGTCACAAATTTACCTCAAATTTCCGAAGACTTCTATACAACTTCAGTTGTAAGTTGGAAAGCCTGACGTGTCCATTATATACTCTAATTAATGCATGGCCACATTATTTACAATTTGCCAAATAACCATCAACCGCAAACCCGCATAGTTTCTCTACATCAACTTTCCCTTCCGCCAGTAGTTCACACCGTAGAAACTCTACAACTATTCCTAACAGTTGGGACTATTTTAACTTCGCTACCTTGGACCAGTCAATCTATGGTTTCAAGGTACATCACACCAATACAACTGCATTACGTTTGCCACCATGGCGACAAAAATAGTATCTACCGAGTCCCTTCTCATTTATTCCATTATGTAATTTACTGGTTTCCTATCATAAATACTGCAGCTGCAGTCACAACACCGATACACACCACTAGATTTTATAAAGTACTACATCAGTCATGCAGATTGGGTCTGAATTCGCTACTCATTGAACATGGCATCATGGAAACTCA